TGCTGTATTTAGTACAAGCTATTCCAATGGTGAGAAGTACAAGAAGTGATTTGCTGTATTTAGTACAAGCTATTCCAAGTACAAGAAGTGATTTTTACTTTTACAGCAACTCTTTGAGATCCTGGTGCACTGCAATATGTCCTATACCTAACCCCACAGCGCACAAAAAGGAAAACAGGAGAAAAAAAAAAGTTAGATCTAGAGAGCAATCCCACAGACAGCTGTTTTATACCCTGAAACATGCTTGAGTAGGAATTAGCACGTTTGCCCCCGTGCATTCCCGCAGGCCAGATCAGCTTGCAGTGAGAAGATAATTTAGGACCCGATATTTTCTACTATTTATAAGACTTTCCTCTTAATGTTTCATCTGTGCTGCTGATGCAGTGGAGCCAGGGCCTGTCGCAGTGTGTCACGTAGAAAGGATTTACCCTTGATTTTAATTATGTTTTAACTACAAAATGTAATAGTTTTCAAATGAGAGATTTTTATCTTAAAGAGGAATGTGTACTTGGGAAATGGGATTATGAGCCCACAGAAGCAGAAAACCTTTAAAAAAGGATTGATATAACCATGACAAGGTGCAAAGAACCCAGAGGATATTGACTTCATATACTCTGGCTTAGGACTGTCTTTGGAGGTATGTGGAAATTGTGTTTGTATCTGTCTTATCAATAATGCTATCTCGATGGATGGGTACAGAGGGCTTGAGTTTGACAGGATGCTCAAGATACACCAGACCCAGTGTAAACAGATTTTATACATAACCTGGTATAAGATGGTCAAACTTTAGGGCCCCCATTAAAAGCAGAGGATACAACTTTTCCCATATTTCCACATTGGCTATGAATTACAGTTTACATGTTGTCACTCAGCCCCATGTCCATGACTTAAAATGAAACACTAGGGGTAAGTACATTGTTCAGGTGATTTTATTTAAATATAACAACAGCAGAACAACAGGATTCCCAGAAAGAAATGACAATCCCTCCCCTCAAACATAAAAAAGTTTAATAACATTAATTATTAATATTGTCAAAAAAAATTACTTAGTCTTTGAGTTCAGCACAGACACTCTCCCCTTTTGACCACCTTCACTATTCTCTAGAAGATCCAGTATTAACTGCACTCAGGGATCAACTCACAGTTCACTGGTGTAAGTCACAGAGCCAGATTTCATCAATTTTCCTCTCTCTAGGTCCTACCATACCTTCTGGACAATCCCATTTTCATTTATGGAACTAGCTGCAAAACAAAATATTACAGAAATTGACCAAATTTTCAGTGCATTACATAACATTTATGCCACAAATGCAGCCTACAATAAAAATTAACTAAATAAAGCTTAAAACTGTTCACTGTGTCACAGGAAAAATATAAAACTTTGGAGAATCGCTCTTGACTGCACTCTCAAGACCTCACAGTAAGAATTCCATTTTAGTAAAACAGAAATATTCCACTTGCTAAAATTCCTAAAGTAAAACCATCAAAATGTTGTGTATGAACAAAGAAAGGCAATGTCCTGATTCAGAAGAGCATTAAAAGGATGTGCTTAAATACATGTCTCCAGCAAAGCACATTATCACATGCTTAGAACTGAGTACCTGTCTAAGCTCCTGCTTTCCTGAGCCAGAGCCCAGACAACGCCCTGATGAAGCAGGTGAAACTCCAGGGGCTTTGGGACCTTCCCAGGTCTATATCGGATCTCTCAAAATACAAACAGATCATCAGAGTTCTCAAATGATCTACGTAGGTCACTCAGGCTACAGGGATTTCCCCCTGAACACACCGACTGAAAAGATGGTGTTAGAGGAAAACATTTATTTCACATTCTGCAGTATTTCTCTGGATTATCCTTTGCTACAAAATTACAACTCTCGCAACACCTTCCCCTCTTCTTCCTCCTCGCTGTCAGTCACATTAACCTGCTGGATGCTGGAGGGGGTTGATGGGGTGCCTGACAAAACATTCTCCAATGTTCCAATGTCCAGCTGCGGCATGGGGCTCAAATAGCCCTCCTGGCCGTGGCACTGGCTGTTGTAATAGGCAATTCCTTCGAGGCTCTCACAGCTACGGGAGTCCTCGATCCGTGCATGTTCCTCCGGGTACTCTCCGAAGGGATAGTCTCTGTCCAGAGGTGAAAACACCGTCTCATGCTTTTGGTACTGGTCTTCATAGAATCCGAGGCATTCCGGCACTGAGCTGGCGAAGCTGCCACAGCCAAATGGAGGCCGGCTGAACGGGCACGTGCTGCAACGAGAGAGGTGGGAAAATGTCTCTCACAAGTTTTCAAGCTGATCATTCAAACAAGAAAATCAGAACGGCTCTAGTGCAGTCTATGCTAGTCAGATCATCCTAATTATTTAAAAATATGCCTGATTTAAGCTCTGAAGCCATAATTAGAATCATGTGCAGATTCTGTATCAGCAAGGAAGGCCTGCATATGCACCCTTTCACACTAGACACATAAAGGAAGTTGCTTCAAAAACAAAACAAAAAGAATTAATGTATTAATAAAATTATGTCACAGATAAGGCAGCATATGGATATCTTGGATTGGGTGATCTCTGATTGACTACCCCAAGACTGTAAAGGATAAATGAAGACTTACTATTTATATAGAAATTCTGAGGATATTTCCCACTAGGCTGGATTTCAGAAATACTTTTGGTTATGACAGCTGCAGTCAGAGTATCCAGGGACACATCCCAAACACGTACTTTAATTCTATCTGATAATTTTGGGAATATATTTATACTGTATATTTTGCATACCTTGAGGGGAAATAGTGAGGTCCAGGTACAAAGTACGGGTGATGGAATGAAAACCGCGGAGGTGCTCCGAACAGACCGGCTGGATGACCGATGGGAGGAGGCTGATAGAGATGCGAGTGGGGAAGAGGGGTAGCCTGGGGAAGAGATGCGCTTCTAGGACAAGTAGAAATCTCTGAATACTCCTTTGGGGACTGATTATCCAAGACGGAAAATCTGGCATTGGCAGCGCTTGGGTTGCTTGGGCTCCTGTTGGGGCTCTCCGTGGAAGCTGACGTAGGTCTCTTCACAGAGCAGTTGGGTCCAGACGACACGAGGGTTTCTGTCTGCGCAGGTCCAGCAAAGTGCTGCGGTGAAATCACGGGGTGCAGGGGCAGAGCTGGGGCTGGGACAGCCACCGAGGTGGTGCTTGCAATGGCAGGCTGGAAAAGTGTAATGGGACCTGGAGGCTGAATGGAAGAGGCTGGCAGCTGGATGGCAGGAGCTTCACCTTTAGGGAACAGAAAAGCCTTTCAGGTTTACCAACTCAGATGGGAAAAGACAAATTCTTAATTAACCTGTGAGGAGCAGAAGCAACAGTTGCAACAGGGAAAAGACAAATTCTTAATTAACCTGCATGGTGCCAAACAGCAGTGAGGAGCAGAAGCAACAGTTGCAACGCCCTGCCCTCAGACACATGTTCTCATTTGTTTCGCTCATGGACATACATGGACAAGCCAATTTCACCTTGAAATGCCTTGCAGACATATACACTTTCAAATCACACTGTATGTTAACAGGGTTGCATTTACACATAAAGGTTTCAGAACACTTTGGGCTAGTATTTTCAAAAAGCATTAACTGCTTTAAGAGTCTATGTCAATGGGACTTTAATGCTTCTAAATGTTTGCAGTCACTTCAATCACAATAGAAAGATACTAAACTTTAGAATGAAACATAGTAGCATGTGAGATACATTAGGGTAAGAAGTATTTTTTTTATTATTATTATTTCAACAAATCTGCAGAGGGACTTAGGAAATAATCACATTGCTAACTCAGAACTGGACCAAATCAAAGTAGAATACTCCCTTATACATTTCAAGATATTACTATGAAACATAAATGGCCACTTAGTTTATTTTCCTCATTACAAGGAGAGCATTCCCTGAAGACCAGTGTTCACACACCAAAAGGAAAATGCCAGTGGGCAGATCTATGCCATTTGTGGCTGAAACCCACATCCATGCACTGCTAGAGCCAGCGCTCTTCCTTCTCGACACGAGGGACTGCGCTCAGGTGGTCTGTTTGCCTGTGGGGTTTTATGCTACACCCTGTTACACTGCACATTGACTCACAACTACAACAACAGAGGGTCCTTCAAGGTTAAGTGCAGCTTTTAAATGTGTTTTTTCTGTAACTATGTTATGGTGATCATAGAAGCTGAGCCTTGTGGGCTTAAACTGTCACATGCCCAAGCTGGTGAAATACATATAGAGCTATCCCAGAAGGGCATGAATATCAAACTGCCCATGTAAAAAAACATGCAAGGGAAAAATTTATCTTCCAGTGTTAAAGACTGCTTTAAAATTGCTGCCCATACCCTCCCTACATAACATCCTCCTTTCTGATGCCCTTATTGGCAGTTCTATCTGCCCTCTCCTTTAAGCAGCCTAAGCTGTTGATTTTTGTTCTAGGGCAGTGGTACCCTCACTAGAAAGACACACCAAGGTAAGAGGGGAGAGATGCCAAACTAGTAAGTGTTGCCAGGTTTAGCAGTGTGTGTTGAGCAGCTGCTTGATCTGCTGGGGGAAGATATGTTTGTGATGGGGACAGAACAAAAGGGAAAAAAAAAGACAGCTGTAGCTCAAGAGGAAGCAACTACAAAGGAAAAAAAAAAGACCCAGAAAGGCAGAAAGAGAAGGGGAGAACTAGAAGACAGGAAGAGAACAGCAGGGATCCATAGGGAAGTAACTAGAAGAATTTAAGGGCAGCAAAGGGAGAAATGACTGAGAAGGTAAGAGCTAGAAGGCAGAAGTGCAGTGTCAAGGAGGACTGACAGATACAGTAGTGTCTACAAAGACTGAGAAATCTTATCTTAACTATATCTACACTATCATGTGCAAAACTTCTCCTACAATAGGTAGATTCTAATTTTTAAAACCATTTACTCAGACTACTAAAAACTCACAGACAGGATGTCCGATATTGTTCTGAACATTAGGGATGACAACGGAGTAAGCGGGTGATCGGAAGGGATAAATGGCAGTTGGATTTGTAGTGATGATATTCTGAGAAGTGCTGGAGAACACAGTGGAGGCAGTCAATGGAAAACGCTTCCTTTTGCCCGGTCGTGGTTGATAAACCCAACCTGTCAGAGATGAAAAAGATGCAGACTTCCCACTTGGGGGATGATCTCTTTCTTTCTGTAAAGCTACAATATCCGTAAATCTAAAGTATCTAAAAGAAAATGAATCATAAACTGCTCTAGTTGTCAAGGCAAAACTCTTGGTTTCAGTGGGCTGGCAAATGGCTGTTTTATCAGAGATGGAGTTAAAATGAGCAGGTTTGGGCACTGTTATGTTACCAGTTCAGTTTGACTACCAATGCAGTCACCATTCAAAGTGTTTGTGAGACAAAACAGTGGGGACTGATGTTGCACAGCTAAGAAAAGCCTGTAAATGAGAACATGATACTGTACCATGGGTACAACAGTATTAACAACATGGATCTTTCCTGACTGTTTCCTTAGACCCTGAAGTCTTACATACACCTTGGGGATTAAAAGATAAGATGAAATATACGATCTACTAGAAAACCTGTTTAAATTTTGGCTGTAGGGAGTACACTTTTTCCTGACTTACATTAGCCAAATGCTAACAGACCAAGAAATATTTTTGCAATTTGGACCGAGCAGCTTGGTTTTCTTAGGCAGTCTAACTCTTATGTTACTTTAAAGAAACTCTTTGTTTGAAGGTGAGAAGACAGAAGGAGAGATTCTGCTCTGTCTTCTGTTTGTTTATGATGTATTAGTCAGGCCTTGTCATGATTGAGAACCAGCAGATTTATGACATCACAGCCAGAAAGGACTATGACGCGCCAGGTCTCAGTGCTGTCATAAAGACTGCTCAAAAACTGCTGCTCCACTTCCTTGGTGCCTTTTTAATTGAACCGCAGTGTTATGGAGAAATGAATTTGTTAAGGATACAAATTCCTAACCCTTTGAAAAAGGTGGGGGAAATTTTCTTCCACATGTTGATTTGGGAATCCCGATCCTCACAGAACACAACATGTGCTTGTTGGGGCATCTCCCTTTCCTGCTTTCACAGGAGTGGGTGCATGTTGTGTCACCACAGGCCACCTGGACAGCTCCCTTGGAAGCCTGTAACATGTTTCAACAGGCCACCCTCACAATAAACTATGTATCTGGCCATCAGGCTCATAAAGCATTCAGAAGAGCTTTGGTACATGCAGTGGTCTAAGGATGTAAGAAATTCAGAAGTTATGGAGAATGAAACATAATTTATGGACAATCTTTTAAAAAAATTAATATGCTTATGCTTTCAGGTACTAAAATCTGACAGAAAGACCAAATATTTGAAAGTCTATCACTCCTTCCAACTCTATTATTTGCACTAATGAAAGAGATCACTTTTTTTTTTCTTTTTTCCCTATAGTTCTTGAACTTCTAGAGCATTTGGATAAACAAAGGTATGTTTACCAGGAAATTCTTCTCTGTGCTTTTCTTTTATTTTCTGAGCTTCATCGTAATAGGGCTTCTTCTGCTCTTCAGTCAGTTTGTTCCATTCCAGTCCAAGCTGAACACTGATTTCTGCGTTATTGGCAGCGGGGTTAGCTTTGGCTAGAGCTGGCCGGTGAATCCTAGCCCACACCATGAACGCGTTCATCGGGCGCTTCACATGGCCACTTTTGTCCTTGCTAAATGGAGTATCTGGTATCCCTATGTGACAAAACGAGGAAAGAAGATCATCTACCAGGCAATATACATAATACACGTTACACTCCAGAGGTATTTCCAGAGGGAATTTGGCAATATCCAGAACTGTAAGATTCTTTCTTTTCTATATGAAATAGAAATTAAAAAAAAAAAAAAAGTTTGGATTTCATTGGCTAGATTGTTTTCTCTAATGCCTGTGTATTGATAAATTAAATATAATATAGACCATATCACTGCAAATTCATTATCATCATCCAACTATGCATCCAAATCCCAATGATGCATGCGTGGATCTGATGAGAGTATTGGAGTTTAGCCCCACATCTCTGCAATTCCTCACTTCTCTGAGGTTGTTGCTGCTCTTTTTTTGTTTATTTTTTCTCCCCTTTCCTCCTCCTTTTCTCAGATTTAGATGCCCACTTGCTGGATGGACTTGTTTCACCAGATGGCTGTTACATGACATCCGGCTTTAGGTCCTTAGGCTGGATTTGCATTGAGTTGGTGACATAAACCCCAACCCTTTCACAACTGAACTTGGAGCAGCAGCCTCCTCTGTGGAAAAAAAAACTTATAAATGACCTCTCTATGTGGTCAGTAAAGGGCAAGGCTACTGATTTTAAAAACCTGTATGTCTTTAAAAATAAATGCTAGTCCAGATGTTTAATAGTCACTTCATTAATTAACATATCCTGATTTTCTTAATGAGAAGTGTTCAACTCCTCATAGCTTTAAAAATCAAGCAGATGCCTAAGCTGAACCTTAAATGACTATCACTGCAACCCTGAAGGCAGCTCTAAGGAGTTTAAGGCGGATGAGGATCAAGTAGACAAAACCATACTGCTTGATGAACCCTGGGGAACTTTGTGCTCTTGAACGTTTGCACCGTAGGTGAACAACGAGCTGTACAAACTACACTGTATCCAAAGGGCCACTTCTCCAGCACTACTTTGTGTCCTCCTGCTGGAACCTTGCCAACACTAAGCGCTCCTACCACGTTAATACCTGCATCGGAGGGCAGCACCGTGAGGGGCACGTTTTTGGTTTCGATTTTTACTGACGGCTCCAGCAAAGACTGCATTTTGAGCGGCACTTGGCTCGCGGGCACCTTGGCCACGTGCAGCAGCTCGGGAGGCGGCGGAGGGCCCTGGGGC